GCCATTCCAGTATCTACTGTGGCATCTGAGTCAGCGTTTAGTACAAGTGGTATATTTGTGAGTCCACATAGAAATAGGCTTCACCTGAAAACTTTAGAAACTTTAATGTGTGCTCGAGATTGACTATGGACTGATATTTATGGTAGGATTTATTGTTTTCTATTTGTCATTCATACACTTTCTTTTATTGCTAATTTTTTTCTCTATTGTGTGTAGAAAATTCTGCTCCTTCATCATACTCCGGAACTTGTGCAATGTTTAGTGAGGAGGAAATTGACGAAGATGTACATTTTTTTGTTTAAATCTTCAATTAAGACAATCTTGATTAAGTAGTATGATTGTATTATTACTTTAATTATATTTCTTATTTACTATATATGAATCAACTTTGAGTCTTGACCTATGCTAGTAAGAGTTGTGGGGAAGAATGAAGATTGAACTATGCTTGTAAGAGTTTTGACCTATTTTGATAATATTGTTTGCTAAATTCGAATTTTGCATTTGGAAGTTGGGATATTGTTTGCATTTTCATTTAGGTATTGTTTGCTAAATTGAATTAATATTGTGTTTTTATTTTTATTGACTTTTCTTCATAATTTTTTTCCAATTTGACGGTTGGAATTTGGATTTATAAAAAATAATTTATTTTCGTGGTTAAACGAACCGAACTGAATCGGTGCGGTTATGGTATGACCAAAATTTTGGTGGTACGGTTAGGTTTTGGCTGAACCCTACCCCGAACCGAGCCGTTGTCATCCCTATATAAGGTCCATCAATAAAAAAAGTTAAAAAATCTTAAATTTAAAATTATTATAACCGCTACCGGTTCGGTGGGTTTTGAGCGATTTTTGTGCTAGTCAGTTAACCAAGCGTGATTGGCTTTGTTTTGGGGTCGGTTCTATCGGTTGAACTTACACGGCCTGGCCGGTTTTGATAACACAGATAAATATTAGCAATTTCTAAATTAATGTTTGGTGGGTCAATTGAGAAATTTGACATGTTATGAACTAGCATATTTGGTATCCATTTTTGTATATTAATTTTAGAGGTTGTAATATACTACCGAGTAATATATAATTCTTCTTTGGTATATTGTTCACATGATTGTAAATTTGCATCCTTGGGATGAAAAAAAATGATTACCCGTTAATTTGGGTTTTCTCAGTGTCAAATGGGCTTATTTTCTTGAGACGTGGATTTTATGAAAAATGTTAAGGGCTTGTTTGAGCTCCATTTTTTTTCAAAAAATGCATTTTGTAAATGTGTTATGATGGATAATGTGTGGTTAAAAATAAGAAAAAATTTTGGGTTTGTGTGTAATATTGTTTATTGAAGAATATGCGGTTGAAATGAAGTCAAATCACTGTTCAAGAATACATTTTAATGGAAAAAATGAGCTCAAACAAGGGCTTAATGCAAAATGCTACAATTTAGAGCCATGTGAATGTGGTCGGCATGGATAGGACAACCAAAGCATGTTCTAAATAGCATATATGGTCATGGGGTGTGATCGTGGATTCGTTGGTGTTCGTAGATGTATTCCCGTTTTTCATGATTTATAATTAGGATCTTGCATATTTTTGGGGTTCAGGAACTTGAAGTTCCTTTTTTTTTTTTTAATTAACTCATTTTCCATATATGCTACATGTAAATTTTTAACATCAACCTACTAGAGGAGATCATTTTGTTGTATTCTCATGCCGGTTGCTTGATTTATCGTGGTTGCTCTAATTGTATTATCTCATGTCATTTGTCATTTTATATTTATATGATGACCCCCCACATGACTAAGCGAGGAGTTGAACCAGCTCGTTTGAAGGTTTATGAGGATATCCCACCACCATATGACAAGACAGATGATATTCTTACTCTGGGTATTGAGGCTTCAAGCTCGACACAAGTATTGTTTGTTGTGTAGACCTTCATCAGAGTTTCGACAACCATTTTCATACCATCAGTTTGAGTTATATTGGGATTGGAATGCCACTTCTAATGACATATCCTCCTAGAAGACTTATAGGACTGCTGCTGAAATTGGAATGAAGAAACCACAGATTTATCCTTAAGAGCATCAGTTTTAATTGCATTTATTAATTAGATTGTTTCTTGCTCCAAATTGTGCACACCATCTTGAAGAGTTTGTAAGAAATTTGTTTAGCTTCGTAATACATGGTGGTTATATATATGCTCTTTGTTGTTTTTCGTTAGACTCTTTACATTTATTTATTTTTGTTTGGAACCTTTTTATTGCATAATATTATCATTCCATAGGTAATAAAACATATCCATGTTAGGTTTATTAATTTTTCATTGTGGGTCTACATATGTAATTAATTGTGTATAAAACTATGAGAAAAATTCATAAATGAGAGGTTAAGTATCTCCCATTTCAAAACTAAGAACAAATATTTCAAATTTCAAAAATCAGATACAAATTAAAATTTATTTATGATTTAATTATTTAATTATATATTTAATTAATTAAATATATTAAGGTGACAAATTTATATAATTTGGTCACAAATTAACGATTTAATTAGTTACATATTATATTTCGGTCACAAATCAAAAATTTTATATGTCATCAATTATTTTACTGTCACAATTTGTTCACAGTCACAAATCAAAAATTTATAGTCACAATTTATTTATCTGTCACAAATTACAAATATTATAAGTCACAATTTAGTAGATGGTCACAAATTGTCAAATTATCAGTCACAAATAAAAAAAAAAAAATTAGGTCACACATTATTTCTTTGTCACAATTTATCTTTTTTATTGGTCACATATTATTTATTGGTCACAAATTAATCAATTTAATGGTCACAATCAACGAAATAATTTGTGACCACCATCAACACTTGTGACCATCACCTCACCACTCCTTCTAGCAGCACCACCGCCACCTTCGCCGCCAACAGTGGCACCACCACCTCAAACAAATCAACACATGACATAAAAATGCCACCACCTTGATAGACCCATTGCCGCCACCACCACCCCCTTCACCACTGCAGCCAACGACACAACCATTTCAAATTAAAAAACTTATAGGTAACAGTTTTTTCAAATAATTGGTCACAAACGATCTTCACCACTACCACCACCTATTACACCACCACAACCACCATCGTTGTCAT